CCTACCAAACACAAAGCAGTTTTATCTTATTTTCGTCCGCGCTGAAGGAAGACCCGTTGGACCCGGAGACGAGGGGCGCCCTCTGGAAGAGTGTTCAGGTAGACAAGGATCGTTGCCACCTCATGCGACAGATTTGGGCTGGAAGCTCACGAACGTGAGGGTTTGGGAAAAGCCTGGCTGAACGAAAAAAAGCCCAAATCCGATTGCGCCAAGCTTTCCGAGCGACTCGCTGGCCGAAGATGTGAAGCCCATTGAAGTTCGCTGGACGCCAGTCCACGTGCCTGGAAATGCTTCCCGGTGCAATCAAGTTTAGTGGTGTCTCAGTGAGGAGAGGGAGAGAGGAGCTTCAAAGGACTACTGCATGTCTGCGACTGAAAACTGCAAGCCTCCGATGAATGAACTGCCAAGGCTCTTCTTGTACTCCTGGCCTCGGCCATACCGCGCAATCCTTGCGGCAGGTGGACATGAGGGTCAAAAGCACACGAAGGGCACGGAAGTTTCGGCCCAGTGTCTGCAGTGGCTCGACATACTCGGCCGGCAAGCCCAGCGTCTCAGCTGCCCAGCCTCCTTGGAGCCAAGGGTGGGTGCGAGTGTACGAGTACCTAATAAGTCCTTTCTGTGCACCACCCGTAATGGTCCAAGCTCTGGAGGCAATGTTTGTCGCATGTGCACAGCGATTGCCTTCACCGGCCCTGTAAAGGCCAAATCCAAGCGGCGGATCGCATTCAACGTCTCATCTTCCTGACTCAAGGACTGGAGGCTTTTGGGGGGAAGACAGCAGCCATCCTTCGTCGCAAACAAAGCTCTCAAACCTGAGATGCCCCTGGAATTCCATCCGACCTCATGGTGTGGAAGGTTGAAAGTGGCGGTTGCCTCGGGCCAGAGGGTTCAAGTATGTGCAAGTACACGCATCCCATGTGCATCTACAGCTCTCTGTGGTGGTCCACAAAACTTGAACCGAGACGGTCCCCAAACTGACGCAGAATGACTCAAAGAGCGCGACTGCCAAAGATCCGGAGCCGAGACTCCGAAGTTCGCACGTGCTGAAGCGGCAGCTGGGACGTCGTTGAACTGACCACGGTGGAGGATTCCCAGAGCGCCTCTGACATAGGACGTAGGCCCACTGACCATCGGGAGACGAGAGACAAGCGCAGGAAGCATGAGAAGCTCTATCTCTAAGGAAGCCTCCGCCTCCAACTCCTATCTCTCGGAGGCACCTCCTCGTCGGCTTTGCGGATCATCGAAGCGCAGACATCCGCCGGGAGCGCCCGGTGCATCAGCATCCTCAATGCGCAGCAGCGGACTGTGCAGAGTTTCGTACAGAATGCCACAGACAAGCGCCCAACGCAAGTTACGACAGCCCCTACAAGCTCTGGCTTTTGGCAGCTGCAGGCTGCGAGTTTGCAACGGGCAGGTGCAATGAGCACTCATGGTTCGAGCTTCGGATCAAATGAGGTTATATTGATTCACTTGATTGCGAATTGAGTTGCGGATTTGGGCTTGGGAGCTTGGCTTTCTCATACCAACGGCAGACGGCAATGGAAACTTCTCGCCATAGAGAACACAAGTCCTTGTGGCTTCTTTGGCATCAACTGGGCCTTAGAGGCCTCTACCTGCATCACAGATGCACAGGAAAAGGCTCCAAAGCCACGGTGGTCATTTCGTTCCTTGGCCACAGGACGTATACAAAGCGAGCGTAGCTTTGAAAGAGTATTAGATTGGATTAGTGGTCCCAAACTACCGATATATGCAAGAAGAACAACAGATCGCATGGACTCTGTAGAAAGGGTGTCGTGCGAGGCAGGTGAACAAATCTGCGATCCAAACGACGGCGGCATCGAGCTGAAGCTCTTCACCCTCGGCGTGATCCCAATGGACGCGGGACGTGTGGCTTAGGCCAAGACTGGTTGACAAAACAGCAAAAGCTCTGTCCGTGGCCTTGTCCACAGGCTTTGTGCCAGCTGGCTATCCACGGTGTAAGATGCTGGACCGAAAACTCCGGAAGCATTGAAGCCTCAAGGTCGGTTGGAGTCCTACTTTTGTGGAACATTGCACTGTCAGTCTTATCGAAGTTTGCATTGGAAATAAAGCACTGGGTTCCTGGTGAAGGTGCCCTCACCTTCACAACAGCCGGATCCGAGAAACCTTCTTTGGGCTAGAATGCGGCTAGAAGCAACGCGTCACCCTTGCGTCTTGCAGCAGACCCGTGCTTTGGTTCTCACCGCCTAACTTTGCAAGTTGAGCGGCGAACGATGCACTCAATGCTATGTCAACTGAAGCTCTTGGCGGATGAAGTGAAGCTGACACGAAATGCGGGCATGCCGGCATTGGGAGTCTGCACAAACAGGGCCCAATGCGTAGCATGCCAACACTAGCAACAGTGGCTTCATGCCCGCTACCGGAAGTGAAACGGCATCTATTCTGAGCTCTTTAAGATTGCTGCTGGAGACTTCCGACAATTCCCTCCCTAAACCCTTCAAGGGAGCAGAGGCCAAGGAGCCTAGGTTTCCGCACGCCCAACTGAAAATGGATCTCTCCTCCAATGCGGGGGTGTCATTGTGCCGGAACCCGATACTTCCTGGAGCCTGAGCCTAAACCACCATTGGGGCTAGGCTAAGCGATGCAAGTGTTTTGGGTGTTAATCACGGTGCATAAACCCTGAATTGAGACTTGGATCTTGTGTATGTACTGCTTAATCAAAGATAGACCTTGAATCCAAACTATTTGGGCTCGGCTGTGGCTCCTGATAGTCTGCGCGCTGCTTCACTCCATGCATCTTGCCTCAGAGGTGGGACACTTCTTTCGGCTCTCTGCAAGAAATGGGTAAAAGATGTGTTACAAGATGGTTTAAGGCTCATAAGGTTCGGAGATGCTCAGAGGCTCTTCTGGAACATGAGGGATGGAACCTGACCGCAAGTGCGAGAAGCGATCCGATGAGCCGGACATCAACAGGCCTGTACTTACTCAACCAAATGCTCACTAGTAGGATGTGTTAGGGGTAGAATGAGGATCCCCATTGGCAATTTTCCTTGCGTCCGAGCTGCTTTGCAGTATCCTGAAGACCTCCGCACGTGCGTAGCCTTGGCAGCATGGCGGCTGAGTGCAATGGCAAAAGCCATCCTCACCCGAATGCGGGAGAGCTTCGCGGCTCTCGGCTCTCTGCCGTGCCCATCTAGGCCCACAAAGCCCTTCCAGCCCTCTCGCAAACTCCGATTGAGAGCTTTGGTATCTCAGTGCAGAGCGAACTTCCGAAAAGGACCAAGCCAGTTCCTTGGTGCCAGAAAATGATGGCAGGGCTGGGTCTAAGGTCCCTCAATCGGCTGTAGCTCTAAAGTACCTGTTTCAGATGAGGCTTACTGGTTATACTTCGAAGGCAAGGATCCGCGAGCGCCCGCGGGTTGAAGCCATCAGGGCCTGGTCAAAGAAATGTTTGTATGTGCGTTGATGGTGATTCTGAGATGTTGCGAAGTTGTGGTGCTTCAAAACACGGTCTTCTGCCCAGCCTGCAGCGATCCGGTTGCCGAGCTCCTGCTTCACAGCAGCGGGCCGCACAAGTGGCTAAGGAGGGAAAGGTGGACAAGATAAGACAGGTATATGTGCTCTCGATGTCCCGGCCTGCCAGGCGGATCCTTCACGCAGCCCGGAGTAGACCTGACCCACCAGTTTTGCTGCGTGTCCCTGGCCGTCTTTGGCCTTCCGTCTCTTTCAACTACTAAGTAGCGCTTCATCCAAGAAGAGCAGGGCTCAAACTCTGGCTGAATCTTGCGATGTTCCCATAGCCCACGACCCTCAGCTACTCTCTGCAACGGGTCAGAGGACCATGGCAAGTCCCGTGGAGGCCAAAGCATCAGCTGGCAAGGCCGGTAAAAGAGTCCTGGGGCACTGCGGCATATGTCGGGCAGAAGGAGCTGGGACCCAAAGCACAACGAGTCAGAGGTCTTAACAAGGGCATGCCCGCAGAAGGTAGAGACAAACGTTTCAGCAAGAAGCACATTGCCCAACGAGAAAAAGCCCCGATTGCCTGTAAGCCATGCCCAGCATGGGCTGCAGCGGTAGGAGCTTCCTCATCAAGGCGAGACAGCGCCAAGTTTTGATTTCTGCCAAGACTGCCGTGGCTCCCGTGCAATGTCCACGATCATGTGTAGATCTGAGCCCGGTGGCTTCTGGCTCTTCAGCTGCACGAACTTGTACAGGAACCGTGCGAGAGCCTCGCAGCGACAGAATGGCCAAGCGTCTGGGGGTTTGATGCTGACGCCCTGCCTTGCGCCTTGCTTGCCTGGGTGCCTGAATGCCAAAGCTCTCTCGCGAGGCCATACAAGGCCACTGCTGAAGGAGGTGCAAGCTCTTGCGGATATCGAGCAAGCCATTCCCCATTCCAGAGAAGGTAGCTGGATTTTGTCGTGCTCTGAATCCCACTGCCAGAGCCCTGGTCGAATTATCGAACAAAAAGCTCTTACAAGTAGTTGAATGGTGCCCACCGGAGCTCACTTGATCTCACTCGGAGTACCCTCCACATCGGATGCAGGCGACTGCGGCCTCGGTTTCCTGCCGACTCAGCAAAGGCTCCATCTCCTGACTTGCAGCTGGAAGAGAAGACTGCGCCAGCGCGGATCTCACAGCCCCAGACCACTACTCCGTTGAGGGACCCTTGAAGGCACAGCAGACTGCAAGAACAAATACTCGGGGTTGGCCATGTTTTTGGGGATTATGGAACTCCCCTCCCCAACTCGCTCTGTCCCTTTTCAGCGCGGCGACATAAGCGTCGACTTTCCTTGGCTTCGCATCTCTGGCTTTGGGATTGTCTGCTGATGCTGATGATGATTGCGCTTGCGCATGGTGACATGGTTGGCGAGCATGTCCGGCAGATCTATCGCTTGATGCGCAGCTATCCTTTCGTCCTTTGCCCAAGCTGTTTGTGGCTCATCTTCGACATGCCTAAGGAGGATCCTGAACGAAGCTAGAACGAGTCGCAAACCACTTGCCCTGAGACTAAACTTCCTCGCCATGGTTTCTGCTTTAACATCACTTCCGCACGTTGCAGCGAATCTGGAAGTGGCAGCGCCGTCGCCGCTGCATGCGCCACACGGGAAACTCGGATCGGCCTGGAGCCGCACGCGCAACTACATGCGACGAAGGACCTGTATCCGCTAGAACAGCCTCTACTGGGGTTTGGATATCCGCCCTGTCCACCTCCTCGACGGTCGAGTGCTCGAGATCCATGCGTTTCCAGTGCGCCATGAGCAAGGCAACACGAAAAGCACCTGGGACAATGCATCGCTTGCTCATGCAAAGTGCAAGGTCTCGACCTGGCTGTCCTAGAGCACACGTCTATAAGATGATCATCGCTGACGGCTAGCTTGCAGCACAGGCAGTCATGCACGGTCTCCAGCTCAGTCGAGTGCGATGCGCAGACATGGCAAGGTAACACAGGCTTCATCCAAGCTGTCCGACGGATTGATTCCAAAGACAAATGGATTGATTCCAAAGGCAAAACCAAACGAAAAGCTACCAGCCAAACATGTTCAAAGACGACTGCGCATGCATGCAACTATGCTTGTGTGCACGTGCATATACATATATGATGTATATACATATATATTAAAGATAGACAGACAGACGGATGGACGGACGGACGCACAGACAGACAG